CTGGGAAAAAAAACGTCCTCTCTAGCATAGCGGCAGGCCTGCGGTCACCTTTGACCCCTGGTTAAGGGATCCAACAGTGTTCCCAGAGAGAAATGAGGAACTAAAGGATGCAAATACATTTTTGATACCTCTTAGAATCTTACAGAAGTTGCAAATCTCAAAATCTATTTTAAAGTTAAGTACTTGAACTAAAACACTAACATTTGTGGCTAAGGCAATTTTCACAATTTGACTTACTGGCAGTGAACTGGCATCCCGGGTGTCATCTCCCAGTGCCTCCACACCAAACTGGATTCTGCCAAACGCATGCAGGGATATGCTTTATCCCTCTTACTAATAAACTTTTTTTTTATTGCCTCACAGAGTTTTCGTTTGAAACCAACAGGAAGCGAAACAAAAACCCGCCTTTATCTGTTGGAATTTCCTGGAATTGCAGATCTCAGGACACTTTAAGCACTGATCTAGGAGCCTTTTTTGGGTTTCTTTCCGGTCACTTCCCATCAACATGCCCCCCCCCCTCCTGAGATCCCGGCCCCCCGGAGCTTCGGCCAGTTCTGCAGACTTTCGGGGTCGAGCTGCTCCCTTGCCGGAGTCTTTCGTTTCGGCGTCTCACATCTGTCTGCAGTTTATAAATACATGCACGGACAGAGCATACCAGCCCAGTTTTCCTACTGTTCCAGATGGAAATCGCTCCAGAAAATGCCTTTAATTTCTCGCTCCACTCCCATTTGTTCATTAATGCGTTTCACAGAATACGGAAAATATTTCTATCTGCGTTTTCATCGACTTCCCCCAAACCTCCAGCTTCTCTGTCATTTTACAGTTACCCCCCCCCGGTCTTAATTTTGCGTTCCATTGCCAGACATTCTGCATAATATATTATGCAGTCAATGTATCTTGGACATGGTCTATTACTGATGCGGGTGTTACTGATGCAGCAACTGGAAAAAAAAACATTGCATGTATATATTAGGAAAATCCACACAAAGGCTGCAATACAGATAATTCAGCTTGATGAATCGTACTATAGAACAGAGACACGATTTTTTGGAATCACACTGAAGGAATACTGTAGCTGTTTTGCTGTGAAATTGTCAGGTCTAGTTCAGCTTAATAAATACGTGGCTTTAAAATTGTACGACTGCTTAGGGGTCAGAAAGTTATGCGTATGCCGTGGATGTTCTGCAGCACATTCAGTCACGCCGTAGCTACAGGAGAGACTGCAGCCAGCTGAAAAAAAGCATGCACCACTGTGGATCAGTTTATGGCAGCAGGTAGGAACGTTCTGGACACCCTCGGCTACCAGAGGCAGAGCAGACACGCTACCGGATGGTTCATATTTTCTACCAGATGCCAGGGTGTCCCAACAGTCCGCTTTTCAAAGCCGACTGCAGTGAGAATCGCGCATGGTAACCTAAGACAAATCTACTCCGGGCCAGATGAGGAATGCGCATGAAATCACTCGCCCATGCGGAGATTTGCACTGGAGCCGATGGAAGTTTCTGTAACAGTAAACGAGACCCTGCGTGTCCCATAAGGGGGTGCAAATTACCGCCACTGCGGACCAAGACGCGTTTAGAAGGACGCTGGGCTCGTGCCCTTGCTTAGATTTCCGTCACCTTGGCCAAGAGAGCACAGAAAGGTTGTGTCCTCGATGTGTTCAGCGTGCAAGGTACACTCATCCGCAGTAAAATCAATTGAATGGGTAACTGAGTTTAATCATAGGCAAATTTTATGCTGTGGATAATTAACCTCACTGTGTTACTGTGATCCGGCTCAACGGAAATAAGGTGAAAGGGTTCTAATGAAGGATAGTGTTTAGTGTCAAACAGATGTGGAAACGCATGGTCTTCTGAGAGCCACGCGGAGCCACGGGGTATGGGGAGCAGAGGGTGGGATGAAGCGATTTTATTGCTACCCATGGGATGCATAAGGAAGGCAAGCTGAACAATGTGCAAACGAATCGCTATAGTCTCAAACTTTGACGAGTAGATCAAGCTGAACAATGTGCAAACGAATCGCTATTGTCTCAAACTTTGACGAGTAGATCTATAATACTGAGGGCCAGACCATCTGTCACTCATTTCTCTAACATGCACAGCTGACTTGATTTGGACTTTTGATAAAATTAGATAGGGCCTGTCTCCACACCTCATCCCTACCCTAAAACACCCAGGACCTCCCTTTGCTACACGACATGTATTGCAGAGCTGTCTAGGCCCAAGGTTCATCCACAGCCCCACATCAGTTAGTCACGGCACACAGAAGCAACATAGACTTGATCGGCAGACGTCACTCGCAAGGCAAAGTGCCACATGCCTGTGTCACATGACCCCTAAGGCCGTTCATTGTGGAATTTCTAGTAGTGAGGAAAGAGATGCAGGCAAGTTTGGGGGGGAGGAGGAGGTTGAAATTGATACCGTTTGCTCTACACACGGCGTTTGGCTGGTCTGTACGCCGTAGTTTGATACTGCGTGGGGCGTGCCGCGATGGCCTTGGGGAGGAAAGCTTTACAAGGGCGACAACAGGTTTCCATGGGTCAGACGGGTTTACGGAGCAACATCAATGATTCCTGAAGCCCTTGCTTAACAATCCCCCCCACCCCACCCCGCCACCCAGAGGATTACAGCTGTATTGAGAAACAAGGGAAGGATTCTGCAAAAGGAAATGGAGATGATTTGTATTTATAGAGTAAGGATCAGCAGGGAAACAAATCTGCAAGTCAGCTGCTCCGTCCGTTAAGGATCTGCTAAGTCGGTCCGCTTCTACGAAAACTCGTCAGGCCGCAGATGCAGTGCGGAAGATGCGAGAGGAGAAACCCGTCGGTATTGAGTTGTACCGCTAGGCTTGTTTCAGCCACGCACAGGAAGTGGGCTGACATTTCAGTTCGGCTAATCCCGCCGTCGACTAGAACGTCCCGGGGAAGTTCTTACTCATCTGTGCATCAACCTTTTTTCAGTAACGGACTTTTCTGACAGAGAAAAAAGAGATTAGCTGTCGCCAGAAATACCACTAACCTACTTATATGCCAGCCATTCAAGAGACAGCAGATCTCAGTTTTAACTACATAGCAAATGGTCTTTTTTTATACATTTTGACTGTCTCTGGTATGCAAGAGTCTCATCATTTAATTCATGCTGGAATATTTGTAAGAATCACTTTTACTTTTTGTGGCCGTTGTATCTGTGCTGGTGAGGATTATACTACATCACAGAAAAGTCTGGCCTTACTGATACATCTCCACTGCATCCCAAAATCTGACAGACCTCCAGGGCCAGAATAACAGATGTTGGACGGATTCTGGACAACCAACTAGCTCAGCCCACACAGCCAATTGAGTGAACATGGGACCGGCCAGAGTCCAACAAGCACTGCCCCTTCTCACATGTGCGGGGAGACGCGGGGGCTCAGGACCCCCCCCCCCCCATCCACTCCCCGCCCCCAGCAAGAGCTTGTCTGGAATCTGGCGAAGGAGGGTAAAAAATGCCTGAGAGCTTTTCCAGATCTGATGGCCCTTGACGTTTTCTCCGTAAATTAGCAGCTGGGGGGGGGCTGACCCTCGACGGTGGGGGTCTGGGTGCAGCTCGAAGCCCGGCCCGTCTGGGGCAGAATGTGGCTTTGCAAACATAGGCAACATTCCACGCACATCGTCCAGAGATGCGATGTAACGATTACAGCAGATCTCCTCTCGCCTCCTCACTCACACATACTTTCTTTCCATTCCTCTCCTCCCTCGTCTCCCTCTGATCTTTCTACCTCTGACTCTCTCCTTCACACGAAGACCGGAAAAGTTATTTTTCAATCGCTTTAATTTTCTTTTGTCACTTCTTGCATTCCTGGCTGATGCGAAAGCGGGAAAGCGACTGTTTGTACAGCAATTCCATCACTAAACCCAGATTCCTGGACACTTATTACAAACAAGTTGCTGGAACTGATATAATTCTAACTGCTTTTATCAGTCTCAGCGTCAGTGTCTACTGGGGATAAACAAAGTGAGGGAGAGGAACACAGCAAAATGACAGGAAATTCCATTATAGTTGGCCTCCACAGAGGTGTTCCACCAACCAAGTGACCAGTACAATCAGGGCGTCCAAGTGTTACATAAGGACACAAGTTCAGGACATAGGCTGGTTGGATCTGGAACTCGCAAGGACTGCAGCGACTGAAAATACGAGTACGTGAGGAAAGGGACAGCTGAAAAAGTCCAAACTAGAAAAGAGATGGAAAACGCTGGAACACGTTGCTTCTTCTCGCTACATGTCCATTATCTAATGAAGCTTTACTGCCACCTTGTGGTCATTAGTGGAATTGCATACGGGTTTCGAAAGCTTGATCTGGGCCTTGCAACATAAATGGCGGGGTTTCATTTGACATTTTAGGGTTAAATAGTTTAAACATTGAAAAGTAAGATGGGAATTTAGTGACTAAAATTAGGGCCTGTACACCATCTGTTCCTAATTACTTATTCTTTACTGTCATTAGATCACTGGAATTGTATTGCCGCTTGGACCTCCGAAGGCTTCGTACCTCCTGTCCTGGTATCTCCTGACTTAATAACTGCACACGACTTGAACTGCATTTGCAACAACAGAAATGTTAAGTATGATCATGGGGGAGCGCAACGCCAGCTTAGGGGCATAATGCCCCCCCCCCCGACGCACATAAACTCCATTGTCAGTGCCCACGGGCAGCTGCCCGTTGTTCAAGTTGGCAAACGAAATCCTTCACTTCACTTTTTTAAAAAAAATTTTGATTGATGAGCACGCGCAGGGATTTAATCGGTATATATTTGAGCATTGCATGATTAGCCTTTCATGGGGAGGGCTCCTCTCGCCGTGGCTGGCTTCTCGCTGGAATGGGCCGTGCGAAAGGAAACGATCCGTATCTGAGGAAGCCGGGGGCACGCCTTCTGGGCCAGCTCCCCATCTTCTCAGGACAACTTGAGGAAAAGCTTTGGGAGAAGTCTGGCACATGAGGTCAACGCAGAGCAAATACTTGCATGATTAATTGAACCTGGGGTTTATTTGCATTGAATAATGTGTTTTATTATTACAGGGCAGGAAGCAGTTGATTTGAATTCCATATTTAATGAGTGATGGTTTGGGCATTTTCCCACGCGACTAATTCGGGGGAACCAGCGGAGGGACGAAACCGGCTATCAAGTGAAAGGTGATAGCCCACTTGCAAAAATGTGTTAGTGCCTTTCTAGGTTAGCTTAGAAGATTTACTTTAGCTTCCTGTCTCACACTGACCCCCCCCCCCCATCCTCCAGAGACCTGCAGCTGGTGGAGAATCAGACACGGTGCTTCTTTGCAAGCTTTCAAAACATGCCGCAGCCTGAAGACACCGAATTCAGTAAACAGTCTCCCTTATCTAGCTGTCATCCCCCTGCTATCCTGCCATTTCTGTTGCCTGCATGCACACAGCTCTTTATATTGTCAGTTGATTGGTTTTTGTTCTAGAAACTTCTTGACAGGGAAGAATGAGTATAGTGGATCTCATTGTTATTGTAGATAAAGCAATGTAAAGCATTGCTACACTTCTGATCCACGTGCTTCAGCAAAGCATCGAGTGGACTGACCTTTGCAGATAGGTTGGGTTTTTGCCTGTTTCAACATGTTAGTCTACAGAAAACTGCCTTGCTGACAAGCGGGCAACTCGGGTCAAGCCAGCTGTTGGAATGCCGGGGCCCCGTAGCAAACTCCTCATATCAGAAGGGCCGCTTTTGTTGGCGGGGGTGTGTGTGTGGGGGGGGGGGGGGTGGTTCAGTAGGTTGGGATGCTGTGTCTGCAATCAGAAACTCAGCAGTCCAAGTCCCAGGTTCAGCAGCATGGATTCACCGCTTTCTGAAAAAATGTGTGAGAAAAATGACGTAACAGGGTTAAAAGCAGCTACTAAATAAAGAATCCACCATGTTAAAGCCGGGGGAATTTACTGAGAGAATCAGCCTCAAAAGATGGGCCACAAGACAGATGTACGAGTCTGGCACTAGGACCCTGGATGGACAGATGCAGTGGGGCAACCAATAATCATAATCATTATGTTGATGGGAAATTGCCTCGGTTAATACGTGAAGTCTTTCGGAAACAAACCCCTCATTTTAATGAATGCTTTTGTTATCCACTTATTGTAAAATCTCAGGATTCCCAGTGGTGAAAGTATCTTATTCGCCTATACAACTCCAGGAATTTTTTATTTTTTTGTAAACTACGTTGTACGCTGCCATCTGCTGGCCATTTGATGGAGTTTCATTTACCAATTTGTTGAGAAATGTACGTAATACTTTTTTATCTTAAAAATTGTGGGGTTCATATAAAAGATGCATTTGTAACACTATGAAGGGGACTCATGGTGAATATATATACATGTATATGCACACCTGTTAATGTCAGAATCCTGAATTTGCTAAATAAAGTGGAATTGTGGAAACACGGATAGTAGGGCTGTGAATCTTTGGGTAGACAGCGAATCGATTCGATTCACGATTCAGAGGTTTTTGATTCGATTCAAAAACGATTTTTGCAAATCAGAACGATTCGATTCGATTAACAATGAAATTTGATTCGATTCGATTATTAACGATTCTATTCTGTAAATTTTAGTATAGTTTATATTGTGACGTGCTCTCTGAAAAATTGCGAAATATTCATCTGTTCGTTTCCAGAGTATTTTAACTCAGATTTACAATGTCTGCAAAC